GGGAGCAGGGGAGGTCCAGAGAGAGAGGGAGACACAGAATCCGAAGCAGGCTCCAGGCTCTGAGCTGTCAGCGTGGAGCTCAAACTCACAAACCGTGAAATCATGACCTGAGCTGAAGTCAGATGCTTAACTGACTGAGCCACCCAGGTGCCCAGATTTATTTATTTATTTTGAGAGAGGGAGTTTGTACACCAGCAGGAGAGGGTCAGAGAGAGAGGGAGAAAGAGAGAGAATCCCAAGCAGGCTCTGCACTGTCAGTGTGGAGCCCAACTTATGGCCGGTTCCATCTCAGGAACCATGAGATCATGACCTGAGCTGAAACCAAGAGTCAGATATTTAACCAGCTGAGCCACCCAGGCGCCCCTTAACTTACATGTTTTTTAACATTCAGTATTTCAACTTTCTTGGGGGCAATTTAAAAACAGATTTGGGCTATCTAAATTGTTCTTTAAAAAATTAGCTGTTCTTCCAGAGTTCTTGTGAATGCTAAGAGAACACATGAGATAATGTTAATTAGATGTTCAGAATTGATTATGGCTAGTATGTGTTTGGGGGGATACCCAAATTAAGGAGTCAGGAAACTCCTGACAAGGCAGCTTCTAATTTTTGCGTTCAAGTGAAATTCCCAATTCATCATTTCAGAGCATGGCTGTTTGGGCACTAAGACAAAGTAGTAATAAGTTAAGCTTAAGATAGTATATTATATGCCTGCCAGCTGGACAGCTGCAGATCTCTGATTATCCATTACAGAAGTTTTGTCAGACAGAGTTCATCCACACATTCTGAAAGTATTTGTTTGGAAGCTGAGTGAATCCATAGGACTTTTGCATTAAAAAATAAATAAATGGTACAAGTACATGACAAAATGATTTTTTTTTAAGTGCAAAATGGTATATGGTGTATATTCAGTGAGAGGTCTTCCTTTCACCTGACCTTGTTTGTACTTCCCTACTCCTTCATCTTGGGGACAGCATTATTAGTTTTTGGTATGTCCTTGAGAGATAGTCCATACATGTACGTATGTATATTATCATCTCTCCTCTTTTTTTCTTTTTATTTTTTTATTACTTTTTTTTTTTCAACGTTTATTTATTTTTGGGACAGAGAGAGACAGAGCATGAACTGGGGAGGGGCAGAGAGAGAGGGAGACACAGAATCGGAAACAGGCTCCAGGCTCTGAGCCATCAGCCCAGAGCCTGACGTGGGGCTCGAACTCCCGGACCGCGAGATCGTGACCTGGCTGAAGTCGGACGCTTAACCGACTGCGCCACCCAGGCACCCCCCTCCTCTTTTTTTCTTCTTGCCATATAAATGATTCCATACTGTCTATAAATTGGATTTTTTACTTGAAAATATATCTTGGAGATTGTCTCCTATCAGTACAGTTAAATATGCTCTATTATAATAGCTGCATGGCATTCTATCCTGTGAATGAATGTACATAGTCTATTTAACCAGTCTTTGACTGATATCAAGGTTGTTTTTAGTCTATTGATACTACAAACAGTGTTACAGGAAATTTCCTTACACATACTTCCTTGTATGAGTGTTTCTTTAGGATACATTCTTAGAAACAGAATTGCTGGGTCAAAGGGTGCTTTTAACATTTGAGACAGAAAATGTAATTTTATTAGCCTTTTTATCTTGTAAAACATTTGTTTGAAAGTAATCTCTGTGGGGCTTGATCTCATGTGGGGCTTGAACTCATGACCCCAATGTGGTGCTTGAACTCATGACCCCGAGATCAAGAGTCACATGGCTCTATTGTTCTACCGACTGAGCCAGCTGGGCACCCCACTTGTAAACATTCTTACAGCTTTTTTTGTCTTGAAAGAGAGAGAGAGAGTGGGTACACACAAGTTGGAGAGGGCTAGAGGGAGAGAGAGAATCCCAAGCAGGCTCCATGCTCAGTGAGGAGCCTGACATGGGGCTTTATCTCACGACCCCAGGATTATGACCTGAGCCGAAATCAAGAGTTGGACCCTCAACCGACTGAGCCATCCAGGCACCTCATTCTTACAACTTTTGATAAGGAATGGGATAAAACAGTTTATAGTACATGTATCCAGGAGTGCCATTTTTTCTGTTGTTGCTTTTTGACAGGAGGAAACTTACTGGCTTTGGAAGAAGGTGACGCTTTATGGTTGAGGGTGAGCTAGAATATTATCAAAGGTATATTAATCATAATTACCAAGTATTGCTGGATTGATTCTGGTTGCTTATATTTCAACTTGATCTTTTTATTAATGTAGTTAAATGACTGAAATGATCTGGTGGCATAGTCCTAGGGAGGAAAACTGTCTTAATATTAACTCAGTGCTTCCATATGAGTCTTAAATTTTCATGGAGATTTAAATACCAAGCATAACTGACCTTCTCTATTCCCTGCTCTCGTTATGTTCTGTAGACCCTGGAAACAGTGGAACTTATAGTTTGTTAACTGCAAGTTTTGATGAGAAAAATGGAATCTATAATCTCTTTTCCTTTCTTAAAATAATACATTCCTGAGATTTCAGAGAGAAGGTCAGACTTCTTGTATCTTATTGGCTCTGTATGTAGTTAGTATAGGAATAGTCCCTTAGAATACAAATAACAATTGTAAAAAATTTTATCATGAAATATTTCTGTCTAAAATTATTTATCACCTTTGTAGACTGTAGGCTTGGGGAAAAACAGAGTACTATCTGAATTGTTTGTTCTCAGAATTTAATTTAAAAGCTTATTTTGGGGAGAAAATTTCACCAGATGCATTAAACAATTCTGTGCCTTAAAGAGGCTCTCAGTCATCACTATAAAAGTAATCTAATTTAGTCAGTTCTTGGTGAGTGGGGCCACATTGGAAGACAGTTGAGTTATTCTTGATAATAACATAATACATAATAAAATATTAATAACATAATTTTAAGTAATAATAATGTTCTCAGAGTTGATCAAAGTATAAAGAAGGGCTCTTTACCTCACACCAAGTGGCCCAAAACCTTTTCCCGTAAGAGCCATAGTCCCAAAGCTGATTTGCAGTGCCTAATTTATGATGGGTTAGGATAACCTGATAACCTAGCTTCTTAGAATTCTATGTAAAATAAAAAGGCTCTGAATGGGGCCAAAGGGCTGTGCTGTGATTGGAATCCAAGTGGCTACTGCTACTCTGAGTGGTCAGCTATGTATAAATCTCATTTAGATGAGGTGCTAAAGAGGGTTTGAATATCATCAGTATTACTGGCATCTGTTGGCTGGTTTTTCGACATCTGGTGTCTTAAAACCTGATAGGAGGGACATGGCTAGTTGTCCATTGCAACAAAATACTTGATATTGGTGATTATAGAGGTAAAAGATTATGTTTTCCAAATTAGTAAGTGGTAGTATGTTTTACATCGGGAAGATAGATGAAACCTAAAACCCTTCAGGTCTGAATTCTGTAATTCTTTAAAATAGGTACAGAATATGTTGGTAGATAGATTATGTAAAAAAGAAAGTAGAGGAATGTTCAGATAGGAACAAGGGACAAGAGAGATGAAGACTTTATACAGTAAAAGATATCTAAGGAGAGGCTTTATAACTTTTTAGGAGGATAGTTTTTATTGGGATTTAAGTGGGGGTTAGGGTTAACAATAAATATTGCCTTAGGGCGCCTGGGTGGCTCAGTTGGTTGAGTGGCCGACTTTGGCTCAGGTCGTGATCTCGCGGTTTGTGAGTTCGAGCCCCGTGTCGGTCTCTGTGCTGACCGCTCGGAGCCTGGAGCCTGCTTCGGATTCTGTATCTCTCTCTCTCTCTCTCTCTCTCTCTCTCTCTCTCTCTCTCTGCCCCTCCCCGCTCATGCTCTCTCTCTGTCTCAGAAATAAACATTAAAAATTTTTTTTAAAAAACAATAAATATTGCCTTGTCTTTCTCCTTCTAAATTTGAAATCAACTGAGAAATAAATTCCTTAATAAGCAGATCAAAATGTTAAAAAATCATCCTGATTGGTGGGGTTGACTGGAGAATACTCCATAGATCTGTGGCTAGATGAGCTTACTACCATCTTCCCCTCTCCCCAGTTAAACTTAACCCAACAGGATGCTGGACCTCTGGGACAACCACTCATCCCGCTGTCCCCCGACCCCCACCTGGGCCTTGCAGGCCAGAGAGAAGTTCTGGCATCCTGCAGACTGTGCCTACTCCTCCTGGTACCTCATCTTTCCCTGAGAGCCCAAGAAGGGAAGGCCATGGTGATTAGTTTCTGTCCCGGTTGTTGAAGGGTTAGGGAATGAGAAATGTCGTAGGAGAAGTCTCTCTCTCCTCAGGGAAATATGAGCCTGGGGAATAATGGCCCTCCTTTTCTCCCCCCTTCTCAGAAAATTGAAGCATGAGCTTAAATTGTTTCCTAGATCAAAAAGGGTTACAGATCTTTGTCCTTTGGGGCGCCTGGGTGGCTCAGTTGGTTAAACGTCCAACTTCAGCTCAGGTCATGATCTCATCGTTCATGAGTTCGAGCCCCGCGTCGGGCTCTGTGCTGACAGCTCCGAGCCTGGAACCTGCTTCAGATTCTGTGTCTCCCTCTCTCTCTGACCCTGCCCCGTTCATTCTCTGTCTCTTTCTGTCTCAAAAATAAATAAACATTAAAAAAAATTAAAATAAAAAACTTGTAAAAGGCAGGGGGACCAATCTGGTTTTAAATATTTGAGTTAATCTGGAAGCAAAGGGCAGAAACTGGGGAATTGCCTAGCAGCCTCTCTGTGGATGCTTATTAAAAAGTATTTGCCTACTTCCCTGAAACACCTTTTGCTTCAGTTTGGCTTAGAAGTCTTATTAGCAAGACTTTTATATTTTTATTAAATATCTCAATCATACTCTGAAAACTATTTTCTAGGTTATCTAATTCAGTAGAAGGATTAATTCTTTTCATATAATACGGGATCAGTTGTACAGAGTAACAAAATGCTGGTTCTAAACTTTTAGTTTGTTCTTGCTGATTCCTCTCTTCCTTTTCTCCATTTCAGAATCCTATTCTAAGAACTTGGACACTCAGTCATCCACCATGGTATTGGGTCCTGAACAGAAGATGCCAGATGGTAATTTACAGCTTTGTGTTATTGTCTGATTTTTATTTGGAACTAAGTTTATTTTTTTTATTTTAATTTTTTTAATGCTTATTTTTGAAAGAGAGAGAGAAAAACAAAGCATGAATGGGAGAGGGGCAGAAAGAGAGGGATACACACAATCTGAAGCAGGCTCCAGGCTCTGAGCTGTCAGCACAGAGCCCGATGAGGGACTCGAACCCACGAACCATGAGATCATGACGTGAGCTGAAGTCAGACGCTTAACCAATTGAGCCACCCAGGCACCCTGGAATTAGGTTTAAATCAGTAACAGAAATTGACCATATTTTCCTTCTTGTCATCTGTGGTAACAAAAACTGTCCTTAACTCCGCTTCCCTAGCCAACAGTATCATCACAGAGACCTGCTCCAATCAGGTCCGATCCAGTCACCATCTGCTAATTTAGGCTGTAAATGAAAATGGATTTATAACTAGAGAGATCTGTCTCCTGTCTTATTTCCAATTCTGAGATGAGCGAAGATTAGCTACAAGTTTGGTTTCTATAGCAGTAATGCTTGCAAGGGCAGTATTAACCACAGACCTGGCATAAAATTCTTTAGAATGCTTTGGCTTTTCACAGCACTGCAGATACTTAACGTGAGGAGCAATAAAATACCGAGCAAGCACCTTAAACTGTGTATTCCATTAGAGCTTCTTGAGTGCTCTAATCCTTCCGAATTCTAAATGTCCCCTTTAGAATTTTCATTCCTTTTCTTTAAATATCTTCATTAATTCAGGGCCACTTCACCTCAGTGGGTCAGCTCCTATAGAAAGAAAGCTTTTGTTGTTCTAATTGGAGGTTGCAAGGATTTCTTGGAAACCCTAACATTAGAGAGCTCTGTGGTTCAAAATAGCCATTTGATGGCTACCAAACTAGGCTTTGTGTCCTTCTGGCAGATTAGCCCTTTTCTTCCAGACCCTCCCCTTCCCAGCACTTAAGATTAACTGCGAAATGCAGGACTCAGGGAAACACTGATTACCAGTCTAAGATGAGACCTCCTATCACAAGGGTGCCCACACCCCGTGACCCAAAGCTCTTCACTGCAGACCGTAGTCAGGAGGCAAAGGGTTCCTGCTTGGTGGCTTTCCTGCAGGTTCAGATTTTAGCTTGAACTGTGGCAGGATTTTTCAACTTCCACATTTATTGAGAAGCCTGACAGAGGTATAACGTCCAAGGATGATGCTTTGAGTAAGTCCTACCAAATGATGGGTTGGAGACAGAACTAGACAGACTTAGTTCCTTTCTTCTAAAAGTTAAGATTTTAGGTTTTACCAGCCTGGGAATGTTATATTTTGAGCCCTAGACATCCGTGTTTTTAGAAGAAAATGAAGTGGTTCTAAAAATTGCTACCTGGGAATATAGAAGTGTGAAAGTAGGAAAACCATTGCAGGATGAGTGTTAAAACTGATCTAGAGCTGAGTGACTGGAGAAGAGGGGTGAGAGGGAGCTTTGTTACCATAAGCTTTTTTTATTTCCTGAATTTCCATCCCTGTGAATATATCGCCTATTAAAGAATTCATTTATTTTGGGCGCCTGGGTGGCTCAGTAGGTAAGCATTTGACTCTTGACTTTGACTCAGGCCATGATCTCACGGTTCGTGAGTTTGAGCCCTGCATTGGGCTCTGTGCTGCCAGCATGGAGCCTGCTTGAGGTTCTCTCTCTCACTCTCTTTCTCTGCCCCTCCCCCACTGGTGCTCTCTTTCTCAAAATAAATAAACTTTTAAGAAAGGAATTAGTTTATTAAAAATATAAATAAAATATTAGAAATAAATTGAGTAGAGTCAACTTGGTCTTGTGCATTTAGGTATTAAAAGATTTAATTTAAAAGTTACTAAGGATGAGTTGTCAGTGTATTTTGCTCATTTTCATTTCTTCTCAAATTTGTTAATTTAGATGATGCTTCTGGAGACCATGGGGACCCTGCCAGTCTTGGTACCCTCAACCCTGCCTATAGTAACTCATCTCTTTCCCAGTCCACTGGGCACTCACAGGAGCCCTTCACCACCTACTTTGATGAGAAGATTGCCATTCCTGAAGAGGAGGTTAGTGACAAATCTTTGGAGGAAAACTTTATTTAGAGAAAACTTAGGAGTGAAAAGTCTGCTGGATAACTCAAGATTAATGGCCTCACATCTAATTTTGGCAAGCAGTCTCTGAAGACAGCTTTTGTAATCAGAATAAGTAGAAACTGTTTGGGAAAATGAGGGCCTTGAAAAACAGTTGCCACATTGACCTAGTGAATATTTTTTGATCTAGAAGTATGAATTTCATGTTCTTTTTTTTTACAGTGTCCCATTTGGGTAGTGATTGGGCATAGGGGTACTGATAGGTTTTAGATTGAGAGGCTGATTGATGGAAAGAACAGGTAAAGAAAGGGCTGCTATTTGGACAGAGAAGAGGTAGCTTATTGATAAGAAGTGGGTAACATGGAAGTTGAACTTGGACACACACAGTGTCCAACATCCTAAGTCTTTCGATCTTATGAAGCTCATATTGTTGTTTTATATGTAACAAAATAACAGATAAATTAGATCAGTAATTTGGAGGTGGTAATTCGTTTGATGTCTTCCTCTCTCGTATAGTATTCTTGTTTTAGCTTTCGTAAACTCTGGGCTTTCACGGGACCGGGCTTTCTTATGAGTATTGCCTACTTGGATCCAGGAAACATCGAGTCTGATTTGCAGTCTGGAGCGGTGGCTGGATTTAAGGTGAATATCTGGTCTTACCCCTGTCCGTTTTAAACACACAGTACACCCTCACATCCTTTCCCCCTACAATGCCTGTCGGATGTCAGCCTTGGGAGTTACATGCAAATACTTCATTGGCAGTAATGCTTAGGTGAAAAGTACTTTCCACCATCTGCTTTTTTTTTTTTTTTAATGTTTATTTATTTTTGAGAAAATGTGAGTGGGTGAGGGGCAGAGAGAGAGGGACAAAGGATCTGAAGCATACTCCTCACTGAACAGCAGTTCAAGAACTGTGAGATCATGACCTGAGCTGAAGTTGGATGCTCAACTGATTGAGTCACCCTTCTGTTTTTTTTTTTTTTTAATTTATTAAAAATTTTTTTTTTAATGTTTATTTATTTTTGAGAGAGAGAGAGAGAGAGAGCGCCAGCGGAGGAGGGCAGAGAGAGAGGGAGACACAGAATCCAAAGCAGGCTCCAAGCTCTGAGCTGTGTGCAACGAGCCCCATGTGGGGCTGAAACTCATGAACCTTGAGATCATGTACTGTGCCAGAGTCGGATGCTTAACTGACCAAGCCACCCAGGTGCCCCTTAATTTATTTTGGACACATATTTGGTTTTAAATTTTTGTTTTGTTTTATCTACTCCACATAGTTTCCTTGAACAAAGGAGAAACTGTAGGTGGGAGAAACTAAGACTCAGAAAGGTATGAGGTGACCTAGCAGGTTATGTACAGAACCTGATACAGAACTCAGGTCATTTGATTCTGGATCTGGGCTCTTTCCTGAATGTTGTATTTCTCATTCATGTTGCTAAACAGCCAAACAAAAACACCCCAGTTGTCTAATGAGTGTTATGATGGGATTTTGTTCTTTTCTAGTTGCTCTGGGTTCTTCTGTTGGCCACCATGGTGGGGCTTCTACTCCAGCGCCTTGCAGCTAGACTGGGAGTGGTCACGGGGTTGCATCTTGCTGAAGTGTGTCACCGTCAGTATCCCAGGGTGAGCAATGTAGTGTGCTGTTTGTTACTCATCTCATAGGAACCTGTGTGTCTGGTGATACGTGCTGGCCTGAGGGCTTGGCGGTCAGGGGCCCTGAGGATGAGTCCCAAGGAATATTATTTAGTTCCTCTTGCTGCCAACCCATATTTCTCTACTCCTTCAGAATTTAACTTGAGATTCGCTTTTTGCCAGAAAGCTTCCTTCGAAAAACTCAGTTTGCATAAATACCTGCCATTCGTTCTGCCTTCTGGCATCTTGCAGTGCCCAGCCCATGGAGGGGTGGGAGTGCTCTAAGCACTTTGAGTCATACATCTTTATTACTATCATACATATTTTCTTTTTTGATTGACTTTGTCATCAATTTGAAAAATAAGGTTTTTCATTTTATTACTATATGTGGCAGGATCTTTGGATTTGTTAATAATTATTTTTCAATTTACCATGACCCTGGAGGTTATACTGTCTTCTGCAGCTTTTTTCTGGACATTTTGGCCCTTTCTCACTGCTGTGTAAGGCAGGAATGGACTCTGTGTCTGGAAGATAGTTTTAACCTAGGTTCATCTTTAGATAAGATACTGATCTGCCTCTGATTTGTCCTAAATGTTTAATCTCCTTTCATGGCTGTGAGAAACTATCTGTATCTGCTTTATTTCCCCATATATGCTTCTCAAAAAAGCCATGGTAATTTATAATTTCTTGTAGCTTCTTTTTCTTCATGTATCTTAACAGTTGTTTTTTGTGACAATTTTTTTGTATAGTCAATACCTGAAGATGTTTGTTTGTTTTTTTTTTTCTTGACCTCTGCTAGCCAGTATTAACTAAATTTGTCTTTGAGCTGGATTATTTGACCAGATTAGTGTCCTCTTATATGCCACTCAATTCCAATCCGTTCACCCTAAGTCTCTTTACATGTCTGTCCTTTTTCACTTGCTTGTGTATTATTATTACATTAAGGATGACCCCAGCGTTTTCATTTTTGTTTTGTCTCTAGCCACGGTCAAGATATTTTCTCTTGTGGTCATTTTCTGTTCTCCCCTGAACAATATTTTGACCATATGAGCATCCTCATCTTCCCCTAAAACTTCTAAGTTTGTTTTTAGGCGGGAAATTAAGTGGAAATTAATGAATGGAAATTCTTTTCCTCTCTTGAGTGGAAGGGAAAGAGAAAAAATTAGGATCAGCCCTTGCCCTGACCTCGGCTCATAGGTTCTACCACGTAGAAACACCCTTGCTTTCTCCAGCGGGGGGCCACAGCGCAGTAGTCCATCCCTAGACTGGAAGCTTATAAAGGACTGTGGATGGGTCAGTGCCAGATGTGAATTCCAAACTCTAAGGAAAGTTCTTAGAAATGATTAATTAGAACCATGTCTTTCTGCTGTTTGGTATTTAGGTCCCACGAATTATCCTATGGCTGATGGTGGAGTTGGCTATCATTGGCTCAGATATGCAAGAAGTTATTGGCTCAGCCATTGCCATCAATCTCCTGTCTGTAGGAAGGTGAGGGGGTTTTCCTCCAGAGAGTAATATTTTGCTAAATTTCAAAACAAATGTAAAAACCACCCAACTCATTTTCAGTTTTCAAGGTTCAACTTGAGTATTATTTTTTCTGTGGAGCCTTTCTGGAGCCACCTTCTCTCCCAGCAGCCTGTAGGCTCTATATGTCCCATGTTCTCATGTTGGGTTATACATCCCACTATTGTATAGTATGTGACATTGTGTGTTACAATTATTTATCTGTATATCAGCTTAACCCACTAGACAGTGAGCTCCTAGAGGGGTAAGACCTATACTTTTCAGCTGTGTATCCGAAATGTCTGACTTAGTAGACCATCAGTGTTGGAATGAATGTAATTAATTCAGTTGGTGCTGTGATCCTAAACTACCCAAGGCCTGACCTCCCACCACTGTCGCCTCTCCCCCAAGTCCTTGCTTCTCCAAGTATTGTATATCTGGAGACCTGTTGGAGAGAAAGTGTTTCTCAATGTTTTCTTTCTTTCTTTTAATCTCCATTTCTTACCTTTGACCTAGGGTTCCTCTGTGGGGTGGAGTTCTCATCACCATTGCAGATACCTTTGTATTTCTCTTTTTGGACAAGTACGGTAAGGAGAGTGGGAATGGAGGGGTCAAAGAATCTACTTTCCATCATGTAGCTGATGGAGAAGTCTGCCTTCTGTGAGCTCACTGCTGCATTTTCCCTTTTAGGCTTACGGAAGCTAGAAGCATTTTTTGGCTTTCTCATCACTATTATGGCCCTCACATTTGGATATGAGGCAAGTATTATAGGCTGTTCGTTAGCTTTTACAACAAAGGAAAGATTTTTTTTTGCCTTTTATTTACAATCATATAATGTTATGATGGTTTAGTTGTATCCCATGCATTAACAAAAAGCCAATTCAGTCTAGGCTAGTTTTGAAGGAATAGGATCTGTAGCAAAGGCTAGTCTCCAGGAAGGCCTGCTGGCGCTCCTAGTTCAAAAGTGACTAGATTTTTTAGGACTTCCTTGACTAGACTCTCTGGTTCCAAGTTGGCCATCCCAACAATAGAGCATCCTGGGAGAGGGCTAGGGAGGAAGCAGGGTTATTCCTGGCTGTGAACTTGGAGGGGTTTTACTTATATTGGCTTATACCAACTGCAGCTTGAACTTTCTCTGTATTGCAACAGTTAATGAACTCTAAGGGATATAGCCGACGTTTCCTGCTTTGTGCCCCAACCCAGCTGCTCCTAGGAATCAGTACCGTTTTATGCAGTAATAGTACCTTTCTGTGTCCAATTGTTTTTTTAAATATTTATTTATTTTGAGAGAGAGAGAGAAAGCATGCGTGTACACGTGAGCAGGGGAGGGGCAGAAAGAGAGGGAGAGAGAGAATCCCAAGCAGGCTCCACCCACCCTGTCAGCCCAGAGCCCCACTTGGGGCTCGATCTCATGAACCTTAAGATCATCGCCTAAGCCGAAATCAAGAGTTGGATGTTTACCCAACTGAGCCACCTGGGCGCCCCTATGTTCAATTGTTATGAACTGATTTTTGCTTAATGGCCTCACTAAACTTGGAAAAGTGTATCTAATCTGTGAATAGATTATGCAATAGGTTAGTCTAAGGCTTCCAAGAGAAATGCGGAACCAGGAAAAAGTATGTATGGGAAGTATTCATGAATGAGTCTCAGCATATGTTAGTGGCAAACATAAATGATTTTTAGATAAACATAGGTGAATAGAGGCATGAGTGTGGGTAATCAAGAATTGACTGTATTCTTGGGTCTGTCTCCCAGGAGTGGTTGTGAAGCTGCTATCAGTGAGGCCCTTAGCAGCTGCTGACTGTTTCTTTAGAATATTAATTACATTCTCCACACATCTACTTTGTATATTTAAAATGTGATGTAAAGTGTCTGGGTACCCCAGTCCTGAATTCTCAGACCTCTGGCAGCAAGCCCCTCTTATGCTTCTTGGTTTCCTAATGGTTCTGTGTTCCTCATTATTCCAGGTAGTTGTTGAAGAAAGTATTGTAAGGAACAATGGATGCTGAGTGTTTCCTAGTACTGTGTTACTCCCCCGGTCTCATATCCTAATAGTTGTTATGTTGGCATATAGTATGTTACAGTGAAACCCAGCCAGAGCCAGGTACTCAAGGGCATGTTCCTGCCATCCTGTCCAGGCTGTCACACCCCACAGATCGAGCAGGCTGTGGGCATCGTGGGAGCTGTCATCATGCCACACAATATGTACCTGCATTCTGCCTTAGTCAAGGTGAGCATGGCCCTTATCTCCATGCCCCCCAGGTAGTTGATGGTTCCTTCAGTTGCAAGGGACACACGCATAGTTTAAAACTGTTAGAGCCCTAAAGGAGAGAAGTATTTTTCCACAGTTGGGTGTTTATAAACTCCACACACTCAGACTGTTTTTATCACAAAGGTGACCAGACATAAGCGACCCCACGGAAAAACTGGGACTAAAGTTCTACCTAAAAGGTCCAAAAGTACACCAAGTCTCTTGTGTTTGAATCTCAAAAGTCTGAGTGACCGTGAGGAGATCAGAAGTAAAGTACCCAACAAAGCTTTTCTCAGTCAGTCTTCTACAGTAGTTCGCTGGGAGATTTCAGAGACCTTTATAATTAAGGTTATTAGGACTGAAAATCAGGTTGTTTTTGTACGTCGGTGGTTCTTCTGGCCACAATAACTGAGAGCTCATAGTCATCATTTCCTGTTTGGGGCATGCCCAACGTTGTCAAAGTGTCACGAAGTTCTTACTCACTTCATGAACTAGGATGTTAAAGTGCGTTTTCTCACATTTCATATGGTCAGTTGTTTTGCCCTCTGCATCTTTCCTCTGACTCCAAACTCATGCAATATTACGAGGAGACTTGTTCTAACTAATTAACGACTACTGCTGTCCTCTCTTTAGTCCAGACAGGTAAACCGAGCCAATAAGCAGGAGGTACGAGAAGCTAATAAGTACTTTTTCATTGAATCCTGCATTGCTCTCTTTGTTTCCTTCATCATCAACGTCTTTGTCGTCTCCGTCTTTGCCGAAGCATTTTTTGAAAAAACCAACGACCAGGTGGTGAGTAAGCCAGGGTCGTGAATGGTAGTGAATGTGAGGATAAGTGAAGGAGTGGGGTAGGCAGAATGACAGTGACTTGAAGCTCAGGGGAAACAGATCTCCAACCTCAGGGCTGCCCCCTAATCACTGCACTAGTTAGGGTCTGGAGTCTGGGGGCAGACTAAGCCTAGACCCATTTTTCCCATCTTTTGGCACAGAAGAGAGCTTGCCTCAGATTAAAGATTGCCTCATGTTGCTGTTAGTGGCTTCGTGTCTTTTTGGCTCTTTGTCATCCCCTTTTGTTTCCTGTTTATCAACTGCCAGCCTGCTTGCCAGTCCTGCCATTTGGTGATGAGGACAAGTGGGGAGGAGTCAACAAACAGAAAACAGAAACCGCCTAAGATACACTCTGGCATTTTTTTTTTTCCCTCACTCTTTTGCATTTTGAATTCTCTGTCGTCTTGATTCCTGATTGCCTGTCTATAGGAACTCAGACTTCTGGCTCTGCTTTGACTCAGGAGTCCTCTCCTGTTTCTTAGGGGCCCTCTCCTCCTGTCATCGCTTAAAGTGAGCCAGCATTCACGTATTACCATGCACACTCTTCACTCGGTAAATATTTTTGATGGCAGGGGGGTGTAGAAAGATTATGGAAGAAGACCACACGTGACATTGGTGCCAGTCTCTCCTCCCTTTACAACGTGTATCCGGTGTCTTACCTCCACCCTAGGTCTCATAGATGACTTGAGTATGACGTGTAGTTTGTGATTTGCTGGAGAGTTCTTCTGATCTGGTCCTTGCCTCAAAAATAAAAGTTGCTCCTAAACTGCTTGCATTCCAGGTTGCAGTCTGTAGAAATGCGAGCAGTCCCCACACCAGCCTCTTTCCTGACGATAACTCGACACTGGCTGTGGACATCTACAAAGGGGTAAACCTATTCAGATCTGTGATCATTGCTCCTGAATCAATATTCTTGGAATAGTATCTGGTCTTTTCTGTGGGTTCACTTCAGAACTGAACATATCTTCTCTGGAGTGCCATTTATTTCAGAGGTCTAGATGCCAGACAAGCATTTTTGGATTACATGGGAGGGAATAGAGGATAAGCTGAAAGATAAAGATGAACAGTATCAGCCATTCCCAGAGTTATGCTGGTAGTTTATTGTTTTATAGGATTTTTTAAAGTTTCTTTTTAAAGTTTTTTATTTAGAGAGAGAGAGTGCATGCGAGTGAGCAGGGGAGGGGCGGGGGGGGGGGTGGGGACAGAGGCTCTACACTGATAGTGGCAAGCCTGACACGGGGCTCAAACTCACAAACCGCGAGATCATGAAGCTAAAGTTGGATGCCCAACCGACTGAACCACCCAGGCACCCCTTTTTATAGGATATTTATTGGGGGAGACTGAAGAAAGTGTTTCTGATAAAGTATTCTTTATTGGGACCTCTCAGTCCCTTTTATGTTGGTTACATTACGAACCTCCAAGAGTAGAACACAGAGCTTATGTAGCACTTCCCAAATTTATTTGACCTTTTTCTTCACTCCTGTTGCTATCTTCCAGAATAGTGTGTTAAGTAATATAATTTGAGAAATGTGGTATAGACTTTTTTTTTTCACATATTTAAAATCTATGTTGAAGACGAAGCCTTTAAGAACTTGGAGAAGAGGTAGAGGAATGAAGGAATATCCAGGAAAATTTAGGTTGAGGGCCTCTGCAGTGAGGACAGGTCCTGAGTCTAGCTTCTGGGGTAGTTCCCAGCACAGCCCTTGGTGTAGATTGGTACATAGGAAGGAAGAGGGAGAAATGCTGCAGAGGAATTCTGTTTTGGGTGTTGTCTAAGCAGATCATTGACACAAACATCTTTCTTCCCTGCTTCTCCCAGGGTGTTGTACTGGGATGTTACTTTGGGCCTGCTGCACTCTACATCTGGGCAGTGGGGATCCTGGCTGCAGGGCAGAGCTCTACCATGACAGGAACCTATTCTGGCCAGTTCGTCATGGAGGTATGTGCTGTTGTGACTGGTATACATTAGAGGAAGAAAACATTGTCCTTTTGTTTCTTCTTACTCCCATGTTTCTAAGGGCTTCCCAGACCTCTCTCTGTTTCCTATTCTAGACGTTCATCCTGCTGTGTTTTCTTCCAGGGATTCCTGAACCTAAAGTGGTCACGCTTTGCCCGAGTGATTCTGACCCGCTCTATTGCCATCATCCCCACTCTGCTTGTTGCCATCTTCCAGGATGTAGAGCATCTAACAGGGATGAATGACTTCCTGAATGTTCTGCAGAGCTTACAGGTAAGGAAGGAGCTGAGGAAACTCCCATTCCATTTAATCAGGCAGCATTATATATTGCTGTCCCTAGGTACTGAGTGTATAGGGCTGGGTGCTGGGGAAAATTGAGAGGAAGAAAGAGGCAGAGTCTTGGCCCTGGTATCTAAAAACCTTTTAGGGATGCCTGGGTGGTTCATTCGGTTAAGCATCCAACTCTTGACTTGAACTCAGGTCATGATATCACTGTTCATGGATTTGAGCCCCTAGTCAAGCTCTATGCTGATAGCGCAGAGCCTGATTGGGATTCTCTGTCTCCCTCTCCCTCTGCGCCTCCCCCATTTGCTCTCAAAAATAAATAAACAAACAAACAAAAATAAATAAATGAAAGCTTTTAGGGTGCCTGGGTGGTACAGTCAGTGAAGCGTCAGACTCTTAACCTCAGCTCAGGTCACGATCTCACGGTTCATGAGTTTGAGCCCTGCATCCGGCTCTGCACTGACAGTGCAGATCTTGCTTGAGATTCTGTCTCTTCTTCTCTCTGCCCCTCCCCCGTTTATTCCCCTCCCCCCCCCCTCTCTCTGTCTCTCTTTCTCTCTCAAATGAATTTTAAAACATTTTTCTAAATAAAATCTTTTGGACATGGTTTGGTTTTAAAAGCTTGTTGAATGGGAATTATCTGCTATAATTACGTACAGAGTATAAAATTATTGTTTCTTAATCCAAGCAAACATTAAATAATAAATAACATAGGACATCGTTAGGTCCTATGGAGGTTAAGAAGACAAGGAAGATAACAAATGTTTTTAAGGACTCAAAGGATGATGATCGATGCTAAGTTAATGATGCCTCTATAGATTTCAACGTAATGCATGAGCATGTTGGGATGACAGGAATAATTTCTCATGGGGCAGATGAAGCAGGGTGTGTGTTTCCCTTTTGCTAACAGGGCTGGGTAATATGAGTATCTCCAGTAGTCCTGTCTGATCTTTGTTCTTTCTTTTCCAGCTTCCCTTTGCTCTCATACCCATCCTCACATTTACGAGCTTGCGGCCAGTAATGAGTGACTTTGCCAATGGAATGTGAGTGTACTTCTCTCAGTTCCCCCAAAATATGTGGGGAAATGGTATCTGCATCCAACAGGCCAGTCAGAAAATGAGTCATATAGGGAACCACATGCTTTGAGAGGTGATTCCTTGAGGTGCCCCTCAATCTTTGGCTTAGAAAATGGAGACTCTGAATGTAGTAAAAGAAGGCAAGCAATTTTTCATTTTTGGGGAGAGAAAGATCAGCTCTTAGGGTTTTATTCTTCAGCTGCAGCCACTGAAGCTGCCTTAATTTCATGTTAAATGATCTTAATGAGAAAGGCATAAACTAATACCTTTTATATGCATCTTTAAAGAGTGTGGGGCATTTGAAATTGTCTGTTGCATCTCTAGGAACTCCGGGCTTGTTGCATTTTTAGGGACTTAAATATCAGGGATTATTTGACAGTATTTCCCCCACCTCTTTCTCCCTACTGGTGTCTATTTGGCTCATTTAATTGGGACATAATAAGACAATTTTCAGTTCATTTTGAAATGCCTCTTAACTCCTGTCCTGTCTGCCCCACAAGACCGAGTGTCCTTTTCTGCTTACAGATAGGTTGGACTATTCCACCAATGATTGCTGATTCTTTTACAGAGGCTGGAGGATTGCAGGCGGGATCTTGGTCCTTATCGTCTGTTCCATCAACATGTACTTTGTCATGGTTTATGTCCAGGAACTAGGGCATGTGGCATTGTATGTGGTAGCTGCTGTGGTCAGTGTGGCTTATCTGAGCTTTGTGTTATACTTGGTAAGTCCATTCAGGAGGGAGTAGGGGTATATGTATCAGAGTTGGTAGAGACGGGGCTTACTGATACCAAAATGAAAGGACTCAAAAGAGCACATAGCCTTCTTATCTCCAGGTTACTGGAACAGTTTACATGAAATTGTTAATAACGTCAGCTGTGGTTAAACAATATTTTTAACCATAAAATTTAGACTCCTAAGAGCTGTCCTGTCACTTCTGCTGGTTTCCATTCTTAGTAATTCCTAATAAGAGAGTGTACTGTGTTTGAGGAATTAAAAGAAGAGCAGTATAGAAAGTAGAGGGCAGTACGAGATGGGGTTGGTGAGATGTCAGAGCTTTGGGGCGGGATACACGTGAGTTCACGGCCCTGCTCAGCTCTGCCATTTAATAACTGTCTCGTAAAGAAATAACAGTGATACTCGCTCATTGAATTACTCTAGAGTGATTTAAAAATGATGGTTATGAAATCGTAACTACACAGAAAATGAATGCGGGGTAATGTGTTCCGAGATAATCAAGTTCCTTCTCAAAAGTCTAGGGTAGATTATGTGAACATGATGATAGGTATGTTCGGATGGTACCATCATGGGGGTGCCTGGGTGGCTCAGTCTGTTAAGCGTCCAATTTCGGCTCAGGTCATGATCTCATGGTTCATGAGGTCACCCTGAGTCGGGCTGTTTACTGTCAGCATAGAGCCTGGAGCCTGCTTCAGATTCTGTGTCCCTCTCTCTCTCTCTGCTCATCCCCCACTTGCATCCCCCCCCCAAAGATAAATAAACATAAAAAAAAAGATGGTACCATGACAGATACATTCTTTTCTCTATTTCCCAAATGTTCTGTCACATTACTTATAGTAATGGAAATAGTTCTAGCAACAAAAACAACAGATCCACCTCTCTGTTCCATACAGGTTTCTCTGAAAAATTCATGTTTGGAGGAATTTAGGGGCAGCAGAATTTATACCATATCTGCTGCAGAGAATGGTTAAGGACAGAGGCTGGAAACCCGATCTTTTGAACATTTAACTAATGCCCATGCCAGTGTTTGCCACAGGTTAGGTACTAGATTGAGAAAATTGCTTTAATGACTATTGAAAAATTATGTCCTGGACTGATACAGCTTTTCTTTTTTTTCTCCCCAGTAAACCTGGGGCACACTAGGATTATGCTAAGCCTATATTCTAGGGATTTACTCTAAGGAAATCCAAGTAATTGAACGTGTCTTTGACAGGAAATATTTTAAAAATTCACCGTAGAAGTTAAAGGAATCTTTCCTTCCTGCAAATTGTGTATGGAGGGTCCGAGTTGTCCTCAGTCACCCTGAGACTGTCGAGATTGTTGAAGACCCATTTTAAGGCTGAGGGCTGATTCCAGGGTGGGTTACTGCTATGAAGCCCCCAAAACATGGACATCGTAGAGCAGTTCAGGATACTATTCCATTTGTATTAGTCTGTCCGTCATTCCCTCCGCCTCCACCTTCATCATGAGGAATGGGGTCTTCAGGGAACTCCCAGTCGGATGAAAGAAACAAACGACAAACGAAAAGCGGTAGGAGCAGGGAGCTCAGTATTGAAAATAGTATGCAAAAAAACGTTGCCGAGGAAGGCAAACTCCAGGATGTTTTGAAGGGGCTGTGGGGTTGGGAGAATGACTTTGTGCAACCTTGGTGGTAGGAGATGAGCAAAGCTGGATATGCAAGGAAGAGAGAAGGTTTGTGTCTGAGCAGTGAGGCGTGAGCAGTCATGGTGGGTAAGAGGGCTCTTCAGAGAGGCTGGTGAATGATGGCCATACTTTATCTTTCAGGGTTGGCAATGTTTGATTGCACTGGGCATGTCCTTCCTGGACTGTGGGCACACGGTAAGCATCTCTAAAGTCCTGCTGACCGAAGAAGCCACCGGTGGCTATACTAAGTAAACACTGGATCAGTCTGTCTGTCCTCCACAGGTAGCCATCAGAGCCAGTGTGTTTCTATGGTTTACTGTGTGAACATAGACAAAAGTATGTGCTGTTGCACAGACTTCATTTAAGACTCAACTGTTTGTTGGGAAAGACTTTGTTTCAATATATGTTTGAAAGATGGAATTTTTTTTCTTCCTGACCTCCTAACCTGGGAACTGGATTAGATAGGATCTGTGAAAAGCTGACATTTGCTGCTATCATTCCAACACTAAAATTTTAAGTAGCTGCCTAAGGGCCAGTTTGTTTTATCCTTTTGAGAGAGAATCCTGTAGGCATGATTCTTAACTAGGCTGTGTGTTTAAAAAAAAAAAAAATTGGAAAATGTAATAAATTTTTCATAATACAAATTATAGAATGGGTATGCAGGTTTTGTTTATCAAAAGATTCTGGATTTTAAGAGGCTGAGAAATACTTTTCTTATCCATACCCTTTCAGTTACTTTAATTATTAAAAAAAAAAAAAAAAACTCACCTAAGGTGGTGTCATCCATATTAAATATAAAATTGTGAGACATCTCTACCTCTTTCAGGTTCAGGGTTCTTTTAACTTCTTTCCACTTTAAATTTTTGGTGGAAGTTAAGAGGGATGAGAAAGCATAAATTTAGAAGGTGATAAATGAACAAATAGCAAAGCTGACATGCAGGTGGTGGTTATTAATCACCTTGGAACATCACTGAGCAGATTTTCCTCAGAGATGGAAAGCTTATCAGGAATTTCTTGGGAGTCCTGATTTTCATAAGTTTCATCTTAGTACCGAGCTTTCCCGTTGATACTTCCTCTTTGAGTGCATACAGTTGTAAAACCTTCACCTTCCTCATCCAGGAAGTTGGCTATAGAAAAAGATGGTAGCATTTATGAACTGACGTTCTCATGAGATTTTGGAATGAGGAGAAAAGACTGAAAGGAAAAGAAGAGCCATCTGTTTTATTCCTAAAAGCCATCTCCTACCAGAACTGTCACGTTTTTCCGAAGCATGCCCAAGACCACTTGCAAGGCAATCTCAGGAGCTGTGGACCTAACTGTTGCAAAGCTCTTTCTCTCTCCCTCAGCAAGTCAGTAGGTATCACTGTGGTTGCAGAGTTCTCTCAGCAAGGTTGCGCTGGGCTACCTCTCTTCAGCCATTCCCTCAGAGGGAAAAATTTTGAGACCAGATGGTGGAGCTTTGGAGTCAGAGGAAATGGGTCCCTTCGGCATGAAGCTGCTGCTCTTCAGCCACTTCTGATACTTTTACATGTGGAGCCTGAGATTGTGTGATTATATCAAATCAAATCACATTTGTCTGGTGGAGATAAATAATCAAGTCTTTTATAGCCATTGACTTGGTGAGAACAGTAACGGGAATGGCATTGAAGGACTTCTCGTTTTTTGGAGCTTTCCTTCTGGAGTCCTGGTTGATTGATATTATGTATTCATCTCAGCCCCTGAAAGCATTATTGCTCATATTTTGCACACAGTCAAAAGCACAGACTGGATGGATTGTTTTTCATAAGGCATTAAGGATAAACTACTGTTTCACTGACTATACCTTCTCTTAGTCCCTCAAGTAATATCTGACAGGATCATGAAAGACAAATTTCCCCAACTGTTCCTCCTCACATCTTCCCCTCTCCCTATCATCATGCCTGGTCATAAGAGCACTCTGTGAAGATGTTGGAGACTGACATCTTTATCTCTCATCTGGCTGTGCTAGGTGAAGGCAAAATTGACAAGAAAAATTCTTTGTAAAGACAGTACAGTGACACTTCCCTTTGCCCTGAGTCTGGTGGGCCCAGTCAGTCTCAGATTCACAAAATGTATTTAGAAGTTCAAGTAAAGCTGCTTATTTTCTTTTTTAAAGTTTTATTTATGACTTAACGATGATGGAAAATTTCTTCCCACTTAAGTGGCATTTTATAATACTACGTGTGGAGTGTTTTACAGTGTTAAAAGCACTCCCAAACCATATTCCATTTGATCCTCTTAGAGAGTGTCCTTTAGCCAGTACTCTGGGTGCAATAAACAATGCTTATGAAGTCTTCCGGTGCCAGCATGTGCAGTGTGTGTGTGTGGAATGTTAAGGATATACAATTGTACCTTATGTAAATCCGTCCTTGTTCTCCAGAAATGTGACATGAAATAATTGTGCTGGTACAGCATCTTGGGAATTCATAGGGATGGGGACGAGCTGTAGTTTGGCTCCTGTGAGGTCCTGCTAGTCGTATTTCAAGTGGTGACAACTGAGCTGTTAGTGACCACTTAACAGTATGTAAACTTGGTTTGTAATTAAAAATTTTTTCTTTTTCCTGTTTGGTTTCCTGGGTATTTTTTTTCACCTTGAAAATATTTAACTTCTGAAATACTGAAACATCAGCCGCCACCTGGATTGACATATTAAGCCCACAGTGTTAGTGATTTTCTCTTGTGAAGGGATGGAGGTATAAATAGCTTTAGTCCCCAGAAGACTTGATGAACTGCAGACAGCAAACACGAATATCAATCTGCCCATTTAGTCACATACTGTTTGTCTTGCTGTTGCTAAAGGTCACATCATTGCCTTATTTAAACTCGAAAAAAAATTGTTATTCAGCCTTTCTTTGCTCTAAGCTGAACATTTTTCTGTCCGTAGTCTTGTTTCACCATTGGAATAGGCTTTTATATTCCATGTATGCTGCCCATAAAAAGTATAAGTGTTTGAAAAGAGAAACCAAAATTGTTTAGCTTAAAAATTGAAAGCATTTTGGTGGAACGGATATAAACGGAAACATTGGCGCCATTTAATGAAAACAAAGACGAAGCTCAGGCCTAATAAACTACTAGCCCTGTCACCGTACAAATGACAGGAAAATCTAAGTGAACACTTGATTTATTCCAAGATTGTCACTTGAACTTCATTTTCCCTTTCTCTGTCATAAGCTTTTCTGCCTGTCTTATAGGAGCTGAATACTGTAACACCATAGAAGTAATCTGGGAATTCTGTTCTCCATGTTGTCCTTCCTCGTTTAGCTCTCCCTTCTTCTCTTTGGGTTTACTTTCCAAACTAGAATAGGATGCAGTAGTTTGAAGATCCTGATTTGAGACATTTCTTTTAGCTCTGCCCTCTGGAATGCTTTCTACTCCTTTATTCGATAGGTAGGGCCAATGAATCTAAATGTATCAGCTTCCCTTGGCACCTTAGTTTATGAAGGTTAAAAACGGCTGACACTGACCCCCATGTGCTCGTCCTGGTCTGAGCACTCCTAGGACCTCATTCAGTTGTTACAACAAGAGGATCAGCCTCTACATCGATGAGGCAACTGGAAGGCCAAAAAGTAAAGTTAACTTCCTCGAATCACATCACGGGTAAATGAGCAGCTGGCATGTCAACTTGAATAGCTAAACTCCAGAGTCCACGTTGCCATTACCGAACCGTCCTGTGTAATACGTGGTACACTCTTCATGCCAGGTTAAGATGCCAAGCTTTGGTGTCTGGCATTACAGGAACACGTCAGAGCATCTCGCTTGATACTCTGATTAGTGAGAGATTCGTACTCTAGCCAACTGACAGACTAATTTTGCTTGGCCTGTGTTAAATTTGGAACAACTTTGAATGCTTTTTGGTGGGCACAGAAGGTGGACAGGGCCCTCTCTGATCCTACCCCAGGAGTAGCTAAGAACTATGAAGCTTACTCATTTGCATTACCTCTCTGCCCCTGTGACAGCAGTTAGCCTATTCCTGTGCCGTTCCGCGCCACTTCTCAGTGTCTCCCAACAATATGACAGACTCCTCCAGTGAAGGAACCCTAACAAGTCCTCTAAGAGTCTGGGGATCACAGGACTAATAAGGCAAACTCTTGCTTATTACGTAATGAGGAAGCCCACCAGCTCAGGTCTCTTGGGAAAAGGTAGCAATGAATTTATAGTGTATCTGACAGTTGCTCTTGGTTACTAAAACCTGAAATGGAAGACCCTGAAATGAATAAGGAGGCTTGTCTGAAGAGCTGTTTCTCTGCCCTAAGGCCACTGTTAGTAATTTCCTAGCTCACTATGCCTAGAATTATTTGGGGGTTCATTTGGTGTCCACGGGGTCATCAGAAGCTTGTGAGGTATACAGGGCAATTTGTAATGTGTTAAAAAATTCCATTTGTCGAGGTGCCTGGGTGGTTCAATCAGTTAAGCATCCGACTCTTGATCTCAGCTCAGGTCATGATCTCATGGTTCGTGGGCTCGAGCCCTGCAACCGGTTCTATACTGAGAGTGCGAACCTGCTTGGGATTCTCTCTCTCTGCCTCTATAAATGAACAAACAAACATTAAAAAATAAACATTAAAAAATCATATTTGTTGAAGACTAACACAGCATATCAGCGTACTTGGCATTTTCAAATGTAGCATTTATTCCCATTTTACAAATAACTAGGATAAGGCTCCAGAAAGGATACATGAACTTGCTCAAGGTCACAGGTAGCGGCAGAGTTGGAGCTTGAACTCGACTCTGGTGCCTTTTCCACTGTGCTATAATAGGAATATTTTCCTCCTGTGGATTCATAGTCTACATTCTGCCTTAACTCACAGGTTGTTGATGCCAAGGGGTGATAACATTCCTAAAGCCCTAACTAATAACAGTAGGGCTAAAGTGAGATTCAGTGATTATCTCACGATGGTATGCAGAGGAGAGAAAAATAGCACGTGCTATTTTCTTTTTTTTTAGGGAAAGAATTGGCTCAGGTGCCAGAAGATCATGGGGCCTGGATATTGGGCTTAGGAGTTAGAGTGAGCTCAAGAGTTAGAATTAGTATTTGATTCTAATATTTATTTTAATTATTTAGAGCTTATTTGATTTCTAAAACACAGTACTAGAATACAAAAGTGCTCAGAGTGTTTGTTTGCTCTCGTCCTTGTCGCCAGCAAGCACCCCTCTGGAACAAGTGTGTCACAAGAATAGTCAAAGTGCAGATTTCATGAGGGTGCTTGGCATTATCTCAGTTCTTAACTATTTCATTCAGCTCCAAGCTAGTATTTTATGTAAACCGTTTCTGTAAGCCATTTCTCTTCGGAAATAAAAATCAATATAGCAGTACTGAAAAAAGGCGTATACCGATGTGCTGATTATAGGTGCTCGTGTGCCAGTTTCAGTATTTAAATACTCGTAAATCAGGGCTGCCTGGGTGGCTCAGTTGGCTAAGCGCCTGACTTCCATTCAGGTCATGATCAATTTGTGAGTTTGAGCCCCGCATCTGGCTCTCCAGCTCTCCGGCTCTCTGCTGTCAGCCTGGAGCTCACTTCAGATCCTCTGTCCCCATCTCTGCCTCCCCCCTTCCCCCGCTCACGTGTGCACTCCCTCTGTCTCTCAGAAATAGACATAGAAAAAGAATAACAAATACTTGCACATCAGTCTAACCCTTTTTCATTTTTTTGTCCTTAGTACCATCTGGGACTGACAGCTCAGCCTGAACTCTACCTTCTGAACACCGTGGATGCTGACTCACTTGTGTCTAGATGACTGACAGCCTGAGAGACTGTTTACGAACCACTTTGTCTTAGTCCTTTTGTGCCAGGTGTCCTGTTAACATATCTCTGTTAGTTCAGAGGTGAGTTTTGTTCAGATGTTTTGAACAAAAGTCAAAGATTTCCTCATGGGAAGGGTGTTAAAAGCTGCCAGCTCTAAGTGTAGGACAGAGACCCACCCACCTCACGATGGTCCTACAGTAGCCAGAGTGACATGATTGGCCCACGGTGGCCACACACCCCTATGGGCTTGTGTCTTGACCTCTGGAATTTAAAAAATATATATGTGTATATATTTATGTAAACCTGAACATGTCAGTTTGGGTAGAGTTTTAAGGTTATGTGAAATTGATAGGTCTTTCTTATTTTTTTAAAAGCTATAGATAAATCAGATATTTGTTTTCTCTGGGTCACAAGTGACAGAGGAAAGGGAGTAATGCTCTTTTTCAGAATGATCTGGTCAAATTGACTTGCCTTTTAAAGTGACACTTGACAATGGCTAGTTAAATTCGATTTCAGTTTTAACCAGACCCTTAGCGACTACTGACTAGCAGTACATCATTTCTAAAGGAAACAGTTCTTCTTTTCAGCAGATTTATCCTGGTTATATTGTGTGCTTTGCAATTATTATTCTTTGTTGCTTTTCTTGAAATCTTGTCAGAGGTATGGTGGTATTTCCCAAAGAGCTTAGTACCTCATCAGAAGATTCAGAAACCATACTCTAACCAATGATCAGTTTTCCATGTGACATCGTAACTCAGCCCATTCTAGCATTCAAGCTTTAGGGATAAAAAGAAGAACCTTCTAACATTTAACTTTGTAAGTCCCAAACAGAAAATGATGGGAGGTTACTTGTTTTCTTTCTAACGTTTGTAGAGTTCTACCATGTCTTTTCTTCCCATTTTTCCCCACTAAAACTCCACAGACACCATTTCTAGGTCCAAAGTCTATTTCCAGGAATGGTTAATATTTCTAGTGTTGAATTTCCTTGAATGCTAAGCATTTTATTTAAGATATTTATATCAAGTAATACGAGAGCAGAACTAGACCAGGACGTGGACGACTAGTTCTCATGTCATAAACTGCCTGCCTACATGTGGGTGATAGACTTTTTTTGACCCCTCTTCTTAACCAGGACTTTTTTCCTTAAGATTTTTATAATAAAAATTAATATTTAAAAATTGGAAAAATGTTGCATAATTATCTGATTGAAAAGAAGATTTGCCACACTGGGCTTACATTCCTGCATGGAATTGCAGTTGGCTGGAACTGGATGGTGGCTCGTCCGTTTTAATGGACTATACTCAGGGTGGCACACACTTCTTCGATTCGTTTCCTTCTAGCCCCAAAGACACTGAGTTTGCAAACCCTGCAGCTTTTGTATGACTTTGAGCATCATTTTCCTCTTTCAGCTTAAAAGTGAAATATCTGACCTCTCTGTCTTATTTTAAAAGTTAGTATTGGGCACCTGGGTGGCTCAGTCGGTTGGGCGTCTGACTTTGGCTCAGGTCATGATCTCACAGTCTGTGAGTTCATGTCCCACGTCGGGCTCTGTGCTGACAGCTTGGAGCCTGGAGCCTGTGTCTCCCTCTCTCTCTGCTTCTCCCCTGCTCATGCTCTGTCTCTCTCTGTCTCAAAAATAAACAAAAACATTAAAAAATTTAAAAACAAATAAAAATGAAAAAAATAAAAAAATAAAAGTTAGTATTTTTTCAGTAAGACTTTTTAAAATTCCAGACATCGTTTATCTTCACTTATAAAGACTTGGTCCTCTAAGTGGCAGGGAGTTGTCTAAGGTAATACTTTTTAAAAATTCTCTCATTTCTATTTCAGAGGCCCTTGAAACTTCTGGTAAGAGTAGCATTTGTAGGTTAGAGTCCTTCTGATCTTAAAAATGAAACTGAATTAACATCAGTTATTAGCTTTCATTTGAAAACGAGATTTCTTTTTTGAAAGAGAGGGAGAGCATGAGCACACACGCACATACAGGGGAGGGGCGGGGGAGAGAGAGAGAGAGAGAGAGAGAGAGAGAGAGAATCTTAAGCAGGCTCCATGCCCATTGCGTAGACTGCTGTGGGGGCTTGATCTCATGACCCTTGAGATCATGACCTGAGCCAAAACCAAGAGTGGATGCTTAACTGACTGAGCCACCCAGGTGCCCTGAAAAAGAGATTTTTAAAATGAGTTTCAGTATTTTAGATTTTTTTAAAGACATTTTATTTATTTAAGTAATCTCTACACCCAACATGGACTTGAACTCATGACCCCAAGATCAAGAGTCACATGCTGTTTGACTGAGCCAGTCAGCTGCCCCACAGTATTTTATATTCTTTATACGCAGATAGCAACTCTGGATGAACCAATGTGGATTTTCCTGCCTCTCTTGGAAATTCTATTTCTCAGGTAGTTAGTTTCATTACCAGAGAGTGTTAGGAGAAAGAAGAAAAAGGTTACAAAATTCTGTTTTGCCACTCATAAAAAGATGAAGTGCTTGGTTAAACAGAGACTAAGTACTTGGGGGAGTCTAGCTCTCATCTCCATCCTATGGCTGTACATTAAAGGAACAGACTGGAGCTTACAAAAGCTTTTAAGTTTGGGGCGCCTGGCCCACTCAGTTGGTAGAACATGCAACTCTTGATCTCAGGTCGTGAGTTCAAGCCCCATGTTGGCGTGGAAGCTACTTAAAATAAAAATAAATTGAAAACAATGTTTATAAATTTATCCATCAAGTCATACAACTCCTGTAATCTGAAAAGTTGATAAACTGAGTCACACCAAGATCAGTAGAGGAGACTGATTTCTAAAGAATGAGTCTTGGGTAAACTTTTGTTCTAAATTAGAACTTTTAATCATTCTCTAATTTATATTTACAAATCTGGATTTTATATTATATGCTTTTATAGCTATTAACATATTCAATCGTAAGATAAACCTAGAAGCATACACTCACTCAGTTCCTCAGGTTTAACATTATGGAGTCAATTTATAAGAGGATGCTCTGACAATGAATATCCAGAATGTCAAAAAAATACAACAAAATAATAGTTACTGGGCAGCTGCTGCTACATAACCACATGTCCACCTAATATAAAAGGCAGTCAGTCAGTTTTGGTTCAGGTCATGATCTCACAGTTCATGGGTTCAAGCCCCATGTTGGGCTCTGTACTGACAGCTCAGAGCCTGAAGCCTGCTTGGGATTCTGTGTCTCCCTCTCTCTCTGCCCCTCCCCTGCTTGTGCTCCGTCTCTCAAAAATATATAAATGTTGAAAAAAAAATTTTTAATTAAAAAAAAAGGCAGAGCACATTGAGGCAAATGAAATAGTTTAGCAAGTGAGGCATCAGGGGTTTCAGTAGTTAATGAAAAAAGCCTTCTCAACTTTAAACATGATATCAAGCCTCCAAAGTTTTGCCCCAGAAGTGTTGTCTTCATTCGGGTACTGTATTTCACCTATATGTAGGGTCCCTACAGTGACCCCTCTTCTTAACCTAAGCTAAAGTGGATAAATGAGCATCCTGCTTCTTTTCTACACAGATGATTTTACACGTTAATTTAAATACACTTTGTGAGTTCTCATAGCTATTCTTGGTGAATAAATACTTTGCATTTCTGTTTCAAGCAATACATATATTCAGCTCTCAGTAAAATTACAAAATTCTGGAACCTGTTGGGTGTTTTGAAAAAAAGCCCATTTCTAATTAAACACTGAAGTCTATTTTTAATGCAGAGTATACATTGAGAGAATGGAATCTTTCCAGGACCCTGAATAGAAGTACTTCTCCATTGTGGAATCAACACGAAGGGTGACATTTCTATGCCTGCTCTTCTCAATCTCCCTGACCTCCATGCAACATATTAGATCCAGCTGCAGGACTGTTTAGTGGAATAAAGTCATTGGATTCTTGCCTGGCCTATTTTCCCCAGAGGACATGTTGCCCAAAATATGTATACTTGTTGGTGGAACTAGGAAAGCCCCATGACAGGTACAAATGACAATTTTAAAAATAATTGCCTGTGCAAATTAATACACAGAACAGTGGGGGTTAATGCCTAGACTGCAGACTTAATTTCAGATATTCCGACATTGTTTCCTTTCCCAAATACTAGACTTCACCTTCCTTTCAGATGAACTCTCCACTGTAGGAAACATCAAAGAAAAGGAAGTAACCGCCACAGATAATTTTATAATGCATTCTTGATTTTTTTTCAGTGAATGCTTTTTTCATTTGTTTGTTTCTGGTTTTGCTTTTTTTTTTCCCTTTCTCCCAAGCTTGGGAGGTCTTTTTTTTTTTTTTTTAATTTTTTTCAACGTTTATTTATTTTTGGGACAGAGAGAGACAGAGCATGAGCAGGAGGGGCAGAGAGAGGGAGACACAGAATCGGGAAACAGGCTTCCAGGCTCAGGCCATCAGCCCAGAGCCTGGCGGGGCTCAGAACCCCACTGGGACCATGAGATGACCTGGCTGGAAGTGGGACTTAGAAAACACATTTCATGCCCAAATGAGCAGGTCTTAAAAGGTAGATCTGCCTGAGTCCTCTGAGTCTGTAATGACTTCAACAGTATAGTTAATTTTAGAACAGGAGACGGCGGAGGAGGACTGTAGAGAGGTTCAGGTCACAGGTGTGATGTACACATTTTAATATCATTTTGATTCCTGTGGTAATTGTAAATGTCATATGGTCTGCTTGTAGCACTGGACTAATTCCTTTCACCCCTACCGTTGTCATCTGGGGAAAAGGGATTTTTTTTTTTTTTTTAACAATTCTGCTTCTAGCCTCCTAAATGCTTTCAAGTATAAAAATGTGGGGGAAAAGCCTGGGTGAAAACAGTTGGTTAGCGATCTTCAGCCAGATCGCGATCTTGGGTGTGAAGTTCCAGGAGCCCGCGTGGGCCTGGGCTGACAAACAAACAGAGCCTGGAGCTTCTTTCATTCTGTGTCTCCCCTCTCTCTCCTGCCCTCCCGTTCATGCTCTGTCTCTCTCTGTCCCAAAAATAA